ATTATATGCATAATGGCTTAATGAAACGGCAGCGTTCAGTGGAGTTGGAGTGTCCATTTTGCGTGTGGGTATCCATTGTAGGGCCCATCCGAACTTTCAGAGTCTTACGTTTTGATCCTTAAATCATGGTTTTAGAGTTTCTGATTGTGTCTCTATATTTTTCCCGTATTTAATTTAAGTCCCAAGTAGTAGTTTATTTAATTTTTTTGCTGTTTTAGACATTTGAACCTCATGTTGTTGCATGTTTCATTTTAATCTTGGAATTCACTTACTTTGATATTTTATTTGTTTGACGTGCTTCTTTTGAGGATTACAGTTTAGTCTTGCATACATTTGTGATTTTATTTTGATTTTAGTACATGAAATGTAATTATTAGTGTTCTATGACTTGAACTTTGTCTATTCTATGACTTTAGCCTTAAGAGTTATGTGTTTATTCATTTAGGTCATTATGTTGTTTCTTCATATTTTCATGATAACATGTAAATATTATGTATAATTTAATTACTAATGTTAAAATGGTCTGAATTTGTGTAGTATATTGAATTTTACATTTCTTCAAATTTAGTCACTACATTTATGTATATACTTTTTAAATTTTTAGTTTAGCATGTTATGTTTTTGTTTTTATATTTGAGTCATATTTGTACATTGTATGTTAATAGGCATAGTTTATAATTTGTAATTAAAATATACGTATATAATTTTTTGTATGCTACGTTGTATGATATTTTTAATGTTTTTTTAATTAATTTTTGCATGACATTATTTTGCATAATATGCATGATAACCTCATTTGCATAACTCGACATATTACATAATTAGATTAAGGGTAATACCCTTTTAATTTAAAATTTTTTTAAGTGGACAGTCATAACTGATTTGAGGTCCGCTTTTAATGATTTTAAAATAAAAGTGTATCCCGAAAGTGAAACTAAAAAATTGATTCGTCACCTAAAATTTGGGAATGAGAGAAAAAATGTTTTTTAATGTTTTTTAATTAATTTTTGCATGACATTATTGCATAATATGCATGATAACCTCATTTGCATAACTCGACATATTACATAATTAGATTAAGGGTAATACCTTTTAATTTAAAATTTTTTTAAGTGGACAGTCATAACTGATTTGAGGTCCGCTTTTAATGATTTTAAAATAAAAGTGTATCCCGAAAGTGAAACTAAAAAATTGATTCGTCACCTAAAATTTGGGAATGAGAGAAAAAGAAATGTTCGTTTATTTAAATATATCGAGAAAAGGTTGTTATATCTTTAAGATCTGGTCTCGATATTTGTAAATAATCGACATTCTTTATCTTTCTAAAATGACTTGGTAATTTTAATTTAATTTGTTTGAGTGCTGTTGAATGTTTTTAAATTTATATCTTTCTTTTATGGGATCAAAAATCAAATTAAGTTCGAATTTGTAAAGTTCATTGCAAAAACGTTAATTAATCGACTAGGTACCGATTTAGGGCGTTGTGGGGTGATAATCCTTCCCCACACGTAACCGACTCCCGAACACGGATTTTGGTAACGCATACCTCAATTTGTTTTTTTAATTAAAATTAATTTTTATTTAAAATGACAAAGCATTTTTGGGTGCCCAATCACACCCTAATCAAAGATTGGTGGCGACTCTTTGAACCGATTTTTTTATCGTAAAGGAAATCCACAAATTTTCGAAATGAGAGGTCTTTTAAATCGCATTTGTTTTTAAATTAAAAAGAGATAATTAAGAATTAATTTGGTTTTCAAAATCTCACCTTTTTTCACCTATTGAAGAAAAAATCGTTTCGACAGCTTGGTGACTCCACTTGTCGGAAAGTAATATGAATTCTCTATTTTAATATAAAATATCAATTATAAATTATTTATTTTGATTAAAATTATTGAACAAAATGACCATATTTTTGTTTTGATTGATATACAGATGGAGGCTTAAAATTAAAGGCACGAGGTTGGTGCACAACAACATTAAAGAGTTCAGGCTGAAGATCGATATTAAGGCCAAAAATGAGGTATGTATAATATGTTATTATTAATTATTATTTAAATTAATTATATTATTTGATTTAAATCAATTTTATTGTTATTTTAATTTTACAGTTTAATTGGAGACCATACATGAATGAGGAAATTTTGGTGTTGGTGTCGCACGATGTTTTAGATGGGTTTCAATATTGGTGTGCTGTTACATCATTGATCAATTTTGCTTTTGTTAAGATCCAATTTGGGGATAGAGTGATGAGGCAATTTTACTTCTACCAACCTATCCAAAATATGGCATGCAGAACTCACGTTCAAATTGAATGCATTTCAACGCTCAAATTGATTGCAGCTTACAAACGGTTCAAATTGAATGCAACTTTAGATTATGCTCTCAAAAAGCTAAGGGGGCAACTTGTATATAGTTTTATAGATTTGTTTCTCCTTTTTATATAATTTATTTCTTTGCGTTAACCAAACAATGGTTTTAAATAGTTAACACAATTGGAAAAGTTGTGAACATTTAAATTGAAATTGAATAAATAATCATTGTAATTAATGAATTCAAATCAATGGAGTATAATTATTTATGTAATTACTTTTATTAATTAAATATATTAATAAAACTAATTCTTTTTAGGGTAAACTACACATTAGTACCAAAACTATCAATTTTGATCCATTTTAGTACCTAAACTTTTAATTTTTTTCAAAACCATTCCAAAAGTTTAGTTTTTGTTTCATTTTAGTACCCTGCCGTTAAGTTTTGAAAAAAAAATGAAAAAATTAGTACCTAAATCATACTTAAGTTTTGAAAAAAATGAAAATTTAGGTACTAAAACGGATCAAAACCGATAGTTTGTGTACTAAACGTGTTAAGTTTTTAACGAAGGGTATTAAAATGAAACAAAAAGTAAATTTTATGTATGGTTTTGAAAAAAAATTAAAAGTTTAGGTACTAAAACGGATAAAGACTAATAGTTTAGATACTAAATGCGTAATTCACCCTTCATTTTATTATACTTTCACATATTTCAATATGGTGTCGAAACCCTTGAGCTTAAGAAACAATTTCTTATGGAGATAACCTTTTGGCTATAATAAAAGTATATTTTATTCATTATCTTTTTCCCTTTTCACATAGAAAAGTAAGAAAAGACTATTTATAAGCGTTTCTTAGCAAGGAAGGAAAAGTTGGATACACTAACAACATTGGAGTGGAGTAGGGAATGGTAAAAAAGAAAGAAGGTAGAAAGCGGATGAATGGAGTTAGGGTTAAATGTTAAGAGGATAAGGTATTTAAGTTTAAAATTATAAGGATTTATTATGTATTTAATTTTAAAAAAATTGAAGGAGGTAAAAGTATGATTTTACTTAAATTTAGATTGATAAAGACACAAAATACTATTAAATTTAAATAAATTGAATCGATATTACATGTATGGTATCGATACTTAGTGTTTTGGGAGATATTCGAGGTCATTTTTGGTACCGACAAAGTATCAACATCCTAAGGTTGGTATCAATACCTATCTAAAAGTATCGATACCGACAATGATGATTGATTAGTAGTTTTTGAGATGTTGAATAGACTTAGAGTGAAGAGTTTAATAGCGATTGAGATCTAGCATTTGGCTTGAGAGTTGGGGAAACTATTAAAATATCCTTAGATGGTTGAAATTAACTAAGTATCCTAATGAGCCTAATTAAATGAAATAATCTATTCTAATAAGAGTTTGTATTGCAAAGAAATAGAATGATGATGTAATACTCAAGTGAGGAGCCTAGAAACGTTGTAATTGACTAATGATGAGAAAATTAATGATACTTGCAAATGACTAATAATGTGATAATTAATGGTGTACAATTGGACTTTTAGCTATATGGTGAATGCTAGATAATGAAGACTCGGTAATATTGTGATGATAATGTTATATGTATGATAATCATAAAAATCTTATGAGGTAAGCTTTATTAGATTTTTATATGTTATTCTTTTCTAAATTAAAGTTCGTGTTTCGAAAAACTAACGAGAAACTCAAAAAATAATATATTAAAATTTTAGATTTTTTAAATTAAATTATTAATAATATTAACATTTATATGTTGTTCTTTTTTTAAAAAAAATACAATATAAGGTTTTCATGTACTTAAGGTTCATGTTTGAGCTCGAGTTTGAGTTTCAATTGAGCTGAGTCTCATAATATTTTGAGTTTAAGTTTTTTCGAGCTCAAGTTGAGTTTAAATTTTTTATTTCGGATCGAGCTTGAAAATTTCAAGTTCGTAAGCTTTTAAGTCTCGAGCTTTAATTTTTTATTTCGAGTTTGGCAATTTTAAGCTTGTGAATTTTCGAGTCGAGTCGAACTCAATTTCACTTTTTGAGTCAAGTCGAGCTTAGCAATACTCTAGCTCGACTCGACTGTAAAAAAAGCGCTACGAGCGATACAACACCTCTCAATTAGGGCTGTAAATGAGACGAAAAAGATCGTGAGATACTCAAGCTCGAATTAGTTAAAACTTGATAAATACTTTGCTCAAATGGACTCTACTCGAGTTCTTAACAAGTCGAAACGAGCTATTTGATACTCGATTCGAAAATCTTACGAACAACTCGAAAAAAATAATATATTAAAATTTATTTTAAATTTAAATTATCAATAATATTAATATTTATGTGTTATTTTAAAAAAATATATAAGATTTTCTTATACTTAAATGAACATGTTGAATTTCGAACTTCAATTGAGTTAAGTTTAAAAATATTTTTTATTTTAAGCTTTTTTTTTAGTTTCAATACATGATTTTAAATTCGAATTAAATTTAAAAATTTAAGACTCACAAACTTTCGAGTAGTTTCAAACTACATTTTAAAATTTTCGAATCAAATTAAACTCCACATCCCTCGAAATTATCTCGGCTCGTCTACATGCCTATAGTCTCAATCTCCAACCCTTCGCTTATAAAACCCCCCACCACCGCAGTGGCCACTACAGAGAGTTGTTTTTAAAAAACCTTAAAACAATTTAAAGAAGACATGTTTCAATCAGCCGTCTTCGGTTGCACTTCAGGTTCCTTCGGTTCAGCATTCTCCTCCGGTCCCACTTTAGATTCCTTCGGTTCAACATTCTCCTCCGGTCCCACTTCAGGTTCCTGGTCCTTTTACTAGATTTTGCCTTACAGCATCACATGATTCTCTGGTTTCTCTTGGGAAACCCTTCATGAATTTTGAAGTTTTAGTGTTCTATTTTATCATTATTATTTTTCTTTTAATAATTTGGAAAATATTTAGTAAATAGTGAATATAGTAGTGCTTTTAGCTATATATTTGTCTTTCTGCAGGATCTTCGTCTGGTCCAAGTTTGTTTTCTACTTTTTCCTATTCATCATCACCAAGTAGAAGGTATTTATAGGGTTCTGCACTTGTAACTTTTGTTTCTGCAAGTTTCATGTCTATAAATCAGTAGTGTTCATAAGTTTCTTGTTTTAAAAAAAAAATTAAAAGTACACAAATGATTCTCGACTATAGAATCCGATTAATAAGATTTATAAAAAACTCCCCAACTATAGAACGTTTATTAATCTCCGTTCAAAAATTGCCATTTGTCTAAGTTACTTTAATATGTTGATTGGGACAAGATAGAATTATATTTTAACGATGTTTACTATCACCACCTTTGCTTGACACTCGACAGTATAATGTAAACGAATATTCGATCTACAAAAATACACTTGAAACAGTTCTGAGATTAGTTTTTATTATATCTAAGTCAACAGATTAACATTTATCTCAAACAGTCGTCAATTTTTTAACAAAAATAGACGAGTTTGAAACATATAAATAGTCAGTGATCATTATGTAGCTTTCAATAGTTAGGGGACGATTTTATAACTTTCAATAGTTGGGACTCAATAAAGCAACACTCTATAGTTAGGGGATGTTTTATAACTTTCAATAGTCGGGACTTAACAAAGTAATACTCTATTGCCGGAGACTATTTGTATATTTTACTCCCAAAAAACACCGAAACAACCATCTTTATCCCCCCGTTGCTTGCTTTTGAATGTTTTGTTCTTCACTTTGGCTATTTCCGTATTTGTTGTTTTCATAGAATCTTGGGAGTTTGATGCACTAAGAAATGGAGATTTTATGTGTATACAAGGGAAGGTGATCTTCCGGGGATTTACCTGTGTCTAACACATGTGCGGTGGAACTGAGCATGGACTATGGAGGAGGTCGGAGTCCGACCTCCTAAAAATATGGAAATCTAAGTTGAACATGCTTGTGTCAAACACATATTGAGACACAGATTTATATGTATATTGGGGACTAATAAGATGACTTTTCTTGAAGTTTCTGTGTTTGACATATATTCGATGGACATGAATATGGAGGTTCAAATCCGACCATCTTATAGTTCGAAAATGTTAGAAACAGGGTGAATGTGCTCGTGTCAGGCACATACATATAACCGACATGAAATGGTGATTTATATGTATATGGAACTAATAATATGAACTTATGTCCTGCACATGTATGTAATCAGTCATCATTCTCAAGTTTCAGTAACAGAGACTGACATTGCCTGGTTGCTCTATTGCTTCACATATGTTTGTTATCTGTTCCCTTTGTTTTGCTATATTTGCTAAGCTTCCTGAATTGCTTGTTGGCTAGCAAAAATGTAAACTGTTTTTAACCAAAAATGGGAAAAATAAAAGAAATGATGCATTTTGCCTTAGAATTGATGTCATGGGAGGCTGAAACTGTCATGTTTGGCCCCATGGAGTCCATACATGTGTGCATTTCTTCCATGATTTTCTGCCTCTCATGCTGTTTTCTTTGTTTGACTTTCTCAGTAACACTACACCAGCAAACAAGGTAAGTCTCGTCTTTTCTAAATTTCTCGACATAGATTAATATCCTTCTCATTCGTGTCGTCATAAATCTTGTTTTCCTCCTATTCTGTCTACGTCTCAAGAAACCATCGACTGATACCGAAGAAGATTTGATAAAGAGGATAAGTTTTCTTAGTGGATTTATGGTGGCTTTCAAGGAACAAATTCACACTGATATCAAGCTTAGGCCTAACAATGGGCCTTCCATATCCGCACACAAATCTTTACTGGTAAAAACACCTTACCTATGCTTCTATTGAATCATTTCTCTCTGTCTATGTTGCTTCGACCGAACATTGATCACAAATTTACTTATGTGTAGGCAGCAAGATCAGAGATCTTTAAAAATATATTAAGCTCAGACAACTACAAAGCTTCACCGAGTGATGCTGAGACTCTCACTCTACCGGAGTTAAACATCGAAGAGCTCAAGGCCCTCCTAGAGTTTCTTTACACTGGGGATTTGCCTGAGGATAAGTTTAAGGAGCATGTTTTCACATTATATGTCGCAGCTGATAAGTATGAGATTCGGTATTTACAAGATGCGTGCGAGCGTTACATGCTGAATTCCTTGAACGCATCGAACGCTCTCGATATTTTAGAGTTCTCAGATTCACATCTGAATAAGAATATGAAGCAAACGACTCTGAACTTCATCGTGCAGAACATGAAGAGCATAGTTTCATCGCAGAAATATGAAGATTTCGCTTCCAACAATCCATGTCTCTGTGTTGAGGTTACAAGGGCGTTTGTTGATGCCAGTGGCGTATCTAGGCCCAGGTAATGCCGGGGCATCCTTCCTAGGCCATGGCCCACCCTATGGCCAAAAATAGGATAAATTACTCATTTAGTTACTCACTTCTTATTTTGTTTTTATTTTAGTCATTCAACTATTATTTATTTTAAATCATACCTAACATTATATTTTGGTTATGTTTTGGTCACTTGTGTTTAAAAAATTAACAGTGATGTTAACATGTCATCATAAGATAACACCACATTAGGATCAAAAAATAATTAAAAAAATGTCATGTCATCGTTAAGATCTTAATGGCATTTGACCAAAACAGAATCAAAATGTAATCTTAGGTATGATTTTGAAAAAAAAATAATTGAATGATTAAAAAATAGATTAAGTAACAACTAACAAGTGACCAAATAGGTAGTTTACCCTAAAAAATGTATGAATTATGTTAAAAAAATTATACTGTTCCGATATATATTTTTTTCTAGATTTAAAATATATATATATATATATAAATTTTAATATATTTTTAAACTAAAAATATATATTAAGTATATTAGATAAATTTTTTTGTTATATTTATATTGTTCAGTCTATAAAATTTTTGGTTGATTCCAAAATTTGAGCTTACTATTGATGGGAGAAACGGGGATGATGATTAACGCCATGGAAGCAATGATAAGGAGCAAATTAATGAATTGGGTATATATATATAGTGAAGACACTCAATTTTGTCTTTTTTTATTAATATTATTATATTATTATGAAATATTACAAACCATAGTGTATGATTATATTATTAACTTTATTTACATTTTTGACAGGCCTCAAAATCAAATATAATGGCCCAACAGCAGCAGCCCAAACAAGTTGGCCCGTTCCAAGCCAAACCCTAGTAGTTTCTCTCTCACCAGCGCCGCATCTCCAAGTAACCCAGGTTCCCCACGCTACACGCCACCAATCCCGACTCTTCCGGCGCAAGGAGAGCACGAAGATCCTTCAATAACAACCCACAACCAATTATCTCGGTTCAGCAACAAACCAATAGCAAATGTTAGTTTTTAACTAGGAATCAAACTCCCAAAAATAGGGTGGCTTGAATATTATAAATAGCATGTAATCCCTAATGTAATTTTTACAGAGTTGATAGGCAATAAAGAGCAGAAATTACAAGCAAATCATAGCCATTCCGAAGCACTTATATTTCGAAAAAAAGGTAAAAACCGTACCTTTGCATGTTATTTTCGTGCCTTTTTTGTGTTTTGATTCAATAGTAACTCCAAAAAAAACGTCTTGAGCCAATGACCAAGAGGGAGATTTCGAAGTTTTTGACTTCAGATCTACGTTCCCCAGAGGTTTTCTTTTGCAAAAACAAAACATTTTTTAAACTGAGGGTACGAAGAGCTCTTTAAAAATCAATTTTTTTTTTGAGTATTGCCGCAGATGAATGGCGGCCGGCGCCGTTGGTCGTGTTCTGGGTTTTCATGAACCCAGGCGGTGGCCGGTTCTTCATAATGAAGAACAGAAGAGAGCATTTGCTTTGAGGAGAAGAGATGAGTCGGTTTTGAGATGGAAAATGAGAGAATTAGAAAAAAAATTTGGCTTATATATTAAGCCCATTCGACCCGCTTGGACCGTGACCCGACCCGCGTGTTCCCTCAGACCCGCGTGTTTTTAAAACGCAAATGGAGCAATCTCATTTTTGGTCCCTCGCAGATTTAATGCATTTATTTTGACCCTAAATCCTAATTTAAGCCCTGATTCTCTCTTAATTTGGTCATGTAATTCGATTTTCCTTTCAATTCAATCCCCCACATTTGACTGTAAATCTCAAACTCTCTTTAAATTGGCCCACAATTTTCTTTCTTTTTACATTTTAGTCCTTGTTATGTGTATTTAACTATATCGCTTATTATTTATTATTTTGTTTCCTTTTTATCCTTTCCGTTTTTTGTATTTATTATACTTTTTTAGTATCTTATTATACTTTTTTATATAAATATACTGTTTATTTTTATTTATTGTCACTAACGTGCGTATATATATCTTATTTAGTTTCCTCTTTATTATTATTGTCTATGTACATATTTAGTTATCTTTTCCTATTATATATATTTTTTTACTATTACTTAATTATTTTTATTTATTAATCTTATGTATATGTATATTTTTCATTTTATTGATTTTCCTATTATCTTTACCTTTGTTATTATTATTTATATTTTATTTTATTATATATTACATGTCATTATTTATATATAGGTATGTAAATGTATTATTTTTTTTATTTACTATGCTTTTTATTATTATATTTTGTTCTATACGTTTTTGACTTTATTTTAATTTCCTACTATTATCTTACTAATATTATATTTTTATATATATCTATTTATATTTTATTATCCCCTAGGCCTTTCTTTTGTCTGCATGTACTCTTTTTTTTTTTTCTTTTTGACTAAATTTTTCCTTTTGTTTGTTTCGGTAAGGTGGTAGTTAAAGTCAGTAGGTTAGGTTTTTTTTTTCTCTTCTCCTATTTGATCTTTGAATTTACATGTTTAATTCTGTGCATGTTGTACGCTTTAATCTACTCCCCATTTGCATGTGATTATTTTTGGAATGCTTGACTTTGTCTTCATTATTATTTTAAAATCTTGTAGATGTTTAAGGTCCCATTTGGGATTTGGTTTGAATGTTAGAGTTGTGATTTACTTTATTTGTTTTTTCCCTCCCTCATATTTTCTTGGATTTATTATTATTATTATTATTATTATTTTGAAATATATTTTATTTATGTTTTTTCCCTCTTGATTTATTTAATGTTCATTTACTATTATTATTTTTATCTAACATTTTTGACCTTTTTAATAAGAGTTTCAACCAATCAGAGGTAAGTTTAGGGATCGCTATTTTACCTTTTAATTTAAAGTTACAATTTTTCTTAATTAAGACAACTGGAAATTACGTAGTACCGAAAGGGCGGTTCAAGGGTGCTAATCCTTCCTTGACCGTAACCGACTCCCGAACCCGACATATTTCTGGTAAGACGCAGATCAGGTAAGAAATAGGGTATCTGATCAACCCATTTATTTTTAAATAAATGATCGGTGGCGACTCCAATCCACATTTTTCAAGTCGAAACCCAATTTCGGGGCCCAACCGAAAGACGGTTCCGACAGCTTGGCGACTCCGCTGGGGACACAGGTAAGTGAGTCAGGCTAAGGTAATTTCCAGTTGTCTTTTTAATGAAAAGGTAAGTTTAAATTTTAAGATAACATTTTGATCCTTATTACTTATTTTTGATTATATTTTTTCGAGTAAATAGTTGGACTGACCGTTTTCTAATGATTTCAGCTTTCCAAACATTTTTCATCTAAGGCTCTAAACCCGAGCTCCGAACCCGTTTTAAGTGGGGGTGAAAGCGACGCCTTCGTGTGAATTTATTCACCGTATGGGCCTAGCAAGTAGCCTTCGGGATTCATATACCTTATGCCTTCGTGTGAATTTATTCTCCGTATGGGCATAAGGGAATGTGTCCTCTCGAGTTTAACTTAGTCCACACAAGCCTGTGATGGGTTTCGGACTAAGGGTCTGGCAAGCCCAAGGGGGCACCGGCAAGGAGAACTCGGGTACCATTTTTTTAGAACCTAAACCGAGAGACTTTGAATAAATAGAGCCTACCCCAAACCCACATTCCAAAACCTAGGACATTTCTTTCCTAACTTTTTTTTTGTGTCCTTATGTTTTTTCCTTTACCATTTATTTTTTTATTTATTTTTATTTATTTCTATTTTACTAACCTTTTTGCCTTTGTGTTTGTTTTTAGCATTTGCATCATAACAAGAGGCCATTGATCCCTAAAAAGGTGTTTATTAAAACTCAAATAATCTGAATTCATGGACAAAGGTGTTGTAATACAAGAGATTGAAAACGCTGAGGCACGACTATGGTCCGAGAAGACTCAAAGTGAAAAGAGAGACAGTCTTCAAGGAAGCTATGTGTCAGAGTTGGTTCGCTACACCCCTATCAGCCTAAAACAGAACAATGTACAAGAGCTTCGAGATATCTGGGATAGTTGGAAGAATGATCGGAGACAGAAGTTCAGCCAACGGTACGGTGACATTGCACTCTTGCTTCATGTTAAGACCGATGAGCCCTTAATCAGAGCCATGGTTCAATTCTGGAACCCGGGATATAGTTGCTTCACTTTTAACCAAGAGGACATGGTACCCACCATCGAAGAATACACTACACTGCTGCATTGTGAAAGCATCAAGCTTGAGCGAGCCTACATTAAACACATCAAAAGCCAGCCCTTCAAGAATGCACTGGCCAAAGTTGCGGGAGTAGATGAGAAATGGGTAATCGATCGGACTCAGCGTAGAGGCAATGGAGAAGGAATTGAATGGATTCACATAAAGCAACTAATGAAAAACCACCCTGATGAGTGGAAGACTATAGACCTTTTCGCACTGGGTCTGTACGGTTTGATCATATTTCCGAAGGCTTTGGGGTGCATTGACGCTGCCGTGGTGGAACTATTTGAGCAACTTTCTAAACGAGTTAACCCAGCACCAGCCATCTTGGCCGAGACCTTTCGGTCTCTCAACCATTGCCGAAGAACTGGCGGAGGAAGATTCACCGGGTGCATTCAGCTCCTTCAGGTCTGGATTCACAGCCACTTCTGGAAGACTGACGGGGTTGCCTACCGCCGTTTCAGCACCACCTATTCACCTCTAGGTGAATTTATCACCTTAAAATGGCATGAAGGCGCAAAGAAAAGTGGATGAAGGTCTTTACGCATCTTCAAGACCGAGATATTGTCTGGAGAGCCCCCTGGTTATTCCTCAGTGATGTTCTTTTTCGATGTGGTGACTCCGACACTGTGACCTTACTTGGACTTTGGGGAGCAGTCGGGTATGCTCCGCTTTTAGCACTTAGACAGTATGGAGCACGTCAGTTTGTCCCAGCAACGTGCGGGTTGGCTAGGTCAGAGTTTGAGTATCACGGCGACAGCTATAAGAAGATGATCAAAGAAGCAGCCGATTCGTGGAGGAAAGTATTCCGGATGGATGTTGTAGCTGCCAGAAGCATGCTCACTCCGGATTATGTGGAGTGGCGAAGATTGAGAAAGAATGACAACATCCCTGTGCCAACGAAGGATATTGGACTCCAGACAACGCAAGTTCAACTTCACGACGAAGGGACCGCTGGTTGTCAACAAACATCTCTCAATTTCAGAGCCAATTTCAACTTCGCAACGAAGGATATTGGACTCCAGACAACGCAAGTTCAACTTCATGACGAAGGGACCGCTGGTTGTCAACAAACATTTCTCCATTTCAGAGCCAATTTCAACTTCACAACGAAGGATATTGGACTCCAGACAACGCAAGTTCAACTTCACGACGAAGGGACCGCTGGTTGTCACCAAACATTTCTCCATTTCAGAGCCAATTTCAACTTCACAACGAAGGATATTGGACTCCAGACAACGTAAGTTCAACTTCACGACGAAGGGACCGCTGGTTGTCAACAAGCAATTTCCCAGTTCCAGAACCAGTTTCAACGTCACAGCGGAGGATATTGGACTCGGAACAATACTTGGATTTCAACTTCACGACGAAGGATTTCCAATTCTCAGGCTCAAATTCACGACGAATGAGCCATATACAATACCAACTTCACAAATAGATTGATCCAACTTCGTGACGAATAGGTCATCTGTAGCACAACCATACCGAAGCTTCGAGTTCGATTTTAACTTCACGACGAAAGGATTTCGTACTCAGGAGCCTCTAGTTTAACTCGACTTCACAACGAGGGAGTCATTTTATATTTCAATCCAGATTGACAAACCAGTCCTAATATCGGATTTCAATTCCATGATGGAAGACATTCGATATGACCGAAATTCGTGTCTTTTAATCTTTGCTCTATTTTCGTTACACGATAATGAGCAAAGAGGGGCAGCTGAAGACACTCAATTTTGTCTTTTGTTATTAATATTATTATATTATTATGAAATATTACAAACCATAGTGTATGATTATATTATTAACTTTATTTACATTTTTGACAGGCCTCAAAATCAAATATAATGGCCCAACAGCAGC